GAAGACGGATTCACTAGAAAACCCCTTTTATGTCAGCTCTCATGTAAGTCTTTCTAAAATGGGTTAGTCCACTTTCCTGCAATAATAAACACTATTTTCTAAATGAGATCTAACTTTTTAGTGATGACAGAATCCCACGGGGCCAGCTCTGACAATCCAGCGCTGTAATGATGAAATGGACAGAGCCAAACCAGGAGAGGAGAATGCTCCGGGTCAGTGAGCAGAGGACAAGTCCAGCCTCTACCACACGTATCTGGCGAGCGGGAGCCGGGCAGTAAATCCACGTGGACCTGCGTGTCTTCCTCTGAAAAGTGATGGTGATGGACCACATCAGTGTTTGTCACGTTGTTCAACTACATCCCGCAGCTGAGAGGATTGATCTTCGGAGTCTGCATGTGTACATGTATATATGTGTGTTTATATAGAATTAAAACAAAGTTTTACTAAAAATACCTACTCTTTTGTACTCACTGGACGAGCAGAACATCCCCATCTTCATCTGTTGCTGCCCGGATGTTTCAGAGCCTCTAACAATGTAGGGGCTCTTAGGATTGCAAATGTAGGGGTCATGATCCCAGAAACTGGCAACAGGAAATTCACCCACATCAGCCCCTTTCAGTCCCAGGTGAGGAGTCATTCCCGCCATCCCCACCGCCCACCCTGGACCACAGTCCCAGTAGCACAGGTCACAGGAAGCACGGGCTTGGGGCTGGGCTGAGCCGCAAGAGACGGCAGAACTGGCCTTTCAGACCTTCAAGCAATGGTGTGATTGGAAAAGCTGCCAACTCATTGTCCTGGTATCCTGGGGGTCTAAACCAGCTTCATTTGGGGACATGGAGGCCTCTGGCTGGGTTCACACTACAGCAGGGAGCACGGCCACAGAGGTTCACCTGCAGCCGCACCTGGCTCTTCCTCCAGCCTGGAAGGGTGTGGCTGCCTTTGTGGATCAGAAAATTGGAACAGAGGGAAAAACAAGACCTGGGTTTCCCTCGACTGAGGGATGAGAATCTGGGTCTCCCGGTTTCTGGCCCAGCCTCCGGCGCTGCTTCCTCGTGTCTGCACAGAAGGAGGCTCCTGGGAGTGCTGACAGCATCGTACTACCAAGCACATCGAGCTTGCCTGCTGGGTGCCAGGCCCATGCCAAGGGCTTCACATGGGTTCATTGTGAACCCATGTGAAATGGGTTCCATTTTTCCCCTTTTCTAGTTAAGTAGGATGGGGGGGCGGTTAGGGTGTCTTCACATCCTCCAGGCCCTGAGGGACTTTCAGAGTCCAAACTAGGGAGCATGGAGCAGAATGTGTCTTAGTGAAAGAAACCAAGGTGGCCCTCGCCCAGACTCCTCTGAGTCATGGATAAATACATCAGAGAAGGAAACTAATTCAATTGGGCTAATTCAGATTTCATGCCATTTAACTTTAATAGAATGAATATCAGCCCATAAATAACACTTTTAAGTCAGTTGGACTGTGAACAGGGGCAAGTCGATGTTGAACCAAAGGTATTATTTCAACATCATTTAATCTGATTGGTCTTGGAGGAAACAGAGGAGGCATTTTTAGTGGCCACAGAGGTGGCTGACTGGAGTTCTGAAAAACCTGGGGACAGATGGATAAAACATCATCCTGAAACCAACAACCAGAGCTTGAGCATCTCTGAAGCACCTAGAGACTCAGCCCCTTCTCCTCTCCATCATGAGTGTCCTGAGGCCAGTCACCGAGCATGCGTAGTGGGATCGTGGCATCAGGTATCCCATGACAACTGTGGCCCAGCCCCCTTGCCCCCTCATTCCCCCGTGAGCCTGGTGAGGGCAGCAGTCAGGTCCCCTGTCCTCTGGGGCCTTGTACCAGTAGCTGCTAGTCCAGTGCCTTCGGATGAACCATTCATGCTGCTGGCCAGTGTTCCCCGTGCAGCCCCGACCTCTGTCTTGACACTCAATCCTCTACTCAGGATGTCCTCGACTTGTGGTCCACCCAGACCGCCCCCTGCTTCCCCAGCAACAATTGTAAAATAAACCAACTACGGGCACTCCCGGCATTCCCCATCCTACAGCAGCATGTCCAAGTAAATTCTGGAAGCGCTCAGGGGTGTTCCAGGGTGGCTAAGGAGCAGATCCTGGCTGAGAAAGTTTGTGAAGCCCTGGCTTGAACTCAACGAAGTGTCTTTTTTTGAAGACTTTAGCCTCTAACATGCTCCTAAGGGCTGTAATGTTCCTAGAAGGACAAACACATTCAGCTTTTCTGTCTTGGTTTGGGTTCCCCAGAGGCAGGCCCTGAGGTGCAGATTTACTGTCAGGAATTTTGGATGTGACCCCAGGAAACATTGGTAGGGGTGGAGAAGTGAGACAAGAAAGAAGATAAGACAATGCGCTGGGCTTTAAAGCAAGTCACCTGCTGTGGAGTGAATGTCTGCACCCCTCACACATGCGTATTGTGAAGGCCCAGCCCCCAGTGTGACTGTATTTGGAAATGGGGCCTTGATGGAAGTAATTAAGGTAAATGAGGTCATAAGGGTGGGGCCCTGATCTGAAAGGATTAGTGTCCTTATAAGAAGAGACACCAGAGAGCTGGCGTGGCCTCTCCACAGGCACATGTGCCCACACGGAGGACAAGCGTGTGAGGCCTTCCAAGAAGGTGGTGTCTACAAGCCAGAAGGAAGATCCTCACCAGTAACAGAACTCTGCCAGGACTCTGATCTTGAACTTCTAGCCTCCAGAACTGTGAGGAAATAAACCTTTTGCTGCTTCAGCCCCTCAGGCCGTGGCATTTGGTCACGTCCACCCGAGCTGACTAGTACTCTCCCACCATGAGCTTAAGGCCCCTAAGGGTCAGAGGAAAACATGCACCAGGGCCTTGGTTAAACCACAAGGAAACAACCTGGGGGCGGGGTTGGGATCTCCGCACAGTCAAGGTGAAGAAATAAAATACCCGGCACAGCAGTGGTGATGAGTGCTGAGGACAGAAACAAAGCAGGAAGCGGACTGGTGGGAGCTGGGGGTGTACAGCGTACCGGGTGGCCGAGGGGCAGAGGAGCGGCCAAGGGGGAACAGCACTGTCTCTGCCTGACCATCCACATTCCAGGGCAGGGGCCGGACTAACCAACAGTTCAGAATCCAAAGAAAAAGAAAAACTTTGTTCCATGCAACAACGAGAATAAAATATTTCTGAAAGTAATTCTTCAAGTTACTGTACCAGAAAAACCAAAAAAACCCAAATAAACTCATTAAAAATGTGTATTGACAGAACGAGCACAGTGCCTCTCCTTAAAAGTGAGAGTAATTTTACTTTCTAATCTTAGTTTCAGGCTCCAAAATTTCTGTAATGAATATGTGTTACTTTACAATCAGAAAAAAGACATATAATTTAAAATTTTTAATACCATTTTAACAACACAAAAATATATAGAGAAATGAGGCACTGACCACAGAGCTCTCTTTCTCATACAGAATCTCAAGCGGAATACTGTCTTTATGTGATGCTTGCTTTCGTTATCTCTTTAATAGTCCTGGAGGATGTTGCCTCTGCAGGAAGGAGTTAGTTTTGGGGTCCTGTATCCTGCAGGCCATCTCTATTCATGCAGGAGCCCCTCCCTGAGTGTGGGGAAAGGTAGTTGGGAAAACCTTCTCTGCTGACTGGGAAACACCAGAATATCACGCCTTTTCCTTCTCCCATCTTTAAACGGAGAGATCATCTTTAAACTTAAGATCTACTGAGTGCTCTGTTTTTTGTATCCAGAGGAGACAGGCTCATAAAATCAGGCAGAGATCAGGTTCTTAATTTTAGAGACTATTGATGGGTTAAAATAAAAACAAATAAATTAACACTGCCACTTCAGGACCTAAATGAATTGGATTTGGGCCAGCATCTGCTTCTGCAGGAACTCGGTAAATGATTTCCGTTTGAAAACACAGCTCGAGGAGCAGTGAGTAATTGCAGTCTGAGGAGCACAGTGGTGATTTACACAGCAGCAGCGTCCATCCAGTCAAGCCGATGTTCTTGGGGAATAGTAACAGTGAGGCAGATCCAGGGCGCACTACGGAAGGGGCTCCTTTGGGATCAGGATGCAATGTGGTCAACGGCTGTTCTTAAAGCTGGCTGAGCATTTTGCTGCTGTAGGATCTGCCTGCCTAATCTGCTCACCCCACATCCATCCCCGCTGCTAATCTTGAATATCGTAATTCTTTTGACCAAGACTGTAGCAGTTTAGGGAAAGGCGTGGAGAAGCGGGACGCTGGAGACTGGGACTCCCTAGCGGGACCTCAGGAACGAAATGGGTCACCAGGCTCCCAGGCAGCGCTGCCCCGCCTCCGCGCGGGTGCGAGCGCCGACCGCCTGCCCGGTGGGATGCAGGGCGGCGGCAGCGAGGGTGACGGTGCAGTTCCGGGTGTCCGGGTCCTCTCGCTCCCAGAGGATGGTGGG